TATATATATATATATATATATATATATATATATATATAATGGCGCGACTACTTTTTATCTGCTCCCCAAAACGGGGTTGGGGCCAAACACCTAAGTACTATAAATTGCAGCGGAGTTGAAAGATTTGAATACAAATATTTTTGGCTTGGAAGTTTCTAAAAAAGTCCCTTTCCTCATCAGAGGTTTAAGGGAGCTTCTCTAGCTTCGGTACAGGTCGTAATCTGGGAGCAGTAGACCCAGCCCATGACAGCTGCAGATGCACTACCTTCTTTGCAAGGCCACGAGATGAACAGTTGAGTAACATTTTGCACTTTTCACGGTTGGTTTAGCATTGTTTGAAGTGGACTGATTGTCTAAGATTTTAGCCAGATCCACGACGGCTCCAGAAACTCGAAAACTGCTTCTTCAGCTGAAAGCACATTGCACAAGCTTCAAGCAGCATGACACGGACTCAACATATATGGTTCATAGCACTATTATGTTTGGGAGCACTGTTTCGTGAGACAACAACTGCGCCCCTCTCTGTTTACGAGATAATGTGCCTTCCTGGCCTACTGCTCACCTGGTGCAGCCCTGACGTCCTGCCTCCCTCCAGCTCGCCGGTGTTTCCAAAGCGCCTATGAGCAGAGAACGCACTCAACTGTCCACACCATAGGTTATCGACAACCAGGAGAAATGCTCGGTTTTTCGTCGTAGCGATGAAAATGAAAGTCAACCTCGGCAGTGTCTAGCGCACTTTATTAGACTACGCTGGATCAAGCGGGAAGGTTTTAAAGTTGCTTTTTGCATGCACAGAATTCATATTCACGTTTAGCCCTCCGTGGCATCTGGTCGCAAGTTAAGTGAAATGTGATGATCAAATATTCGCGAGGAACCTAAAAGGTTAGCACTTTCTGCTTTACTGAAAACTTGTGGAATACGTCAGTTGCCGCTCCAGTGCATACGAAATGCACAGGGAATGCTTCCAAATAAACATAGTACAAAGCAAGGCACCTGTTGAGAATTGCCTCAGCATCGCCAAGAGACTGCTGCAGCTCGTTGCGCTCCAACACAGCAACGACGCAGCCGTCGGGGGACGTAGCAACGATGGAGACGTCCGACGGAGTATCGTGTAGCAGAGCCAAAGCGTTTATGTTGTCACCTGGATGAGAACAGACAGAGGCACAAGCCATGCAGTGATGAGACACACTGTAGAAGGCAGAATTCAACAAACGACCTGGCAGTTGATGCCGATGCTGCGTTCACTAGCTTGTATCACATATAAATTCAGTGGAAGTTGGTTTACAATTCGGCTGCAATTTAGCCTGCTTGTTAGCAATCTTTTCCTTCTGTGATGCATGCTTGCTGTTGTTTTCATTGAAAGTTTGTGTTTTGTCCCATCACTTCTTCTGTTTCACCTGGGCTAAATTCGTCTACCACCTCCGGATTCCCCTGGCGCTCCACGAAGCGCACTGCACGAGCGCAGCCTATGGCAAGGGTGCATGAACACAGAACACAGATAAAGTAAAGCATAAGGGTGCACCAACGCAAATAAAATAACACATAAGCGTGCGGCGGTTCCCCTTTCTACTTCTGCAGAACAGGTGAAAAAGAAGCACAGATACGGAATGCAAGTACCATGAACGACAACCAGCACGCCGCTGCAAATTTCTCCTTGAAAGCACATGACTTCGTCGGGGAGATAAATCCGCCACTTCATTAACGTTGCTATTTGGACTCTTTCTCTCCTGAAAGAAAATAACAGCAGCAAGTGGCATAAATGCAAAAAGCATCAGCGAGCCAAAGGAAAAAAACATCAGCATGCCACGAGGAAAACAGGTTAAATCGTATCTACTTTGCCTGCGGTAGAGAGCTCAACAACTGTTTTGTTGAGCATACTGACCTTGTCAAGGAGTCCAAAATAGGGCAGTTCCCGAGGTAGCTCATAACCTGAGATGCTCTTCGGAAGATGCATGCTGCACAATCAGGTCAAGTGGAGCACCGCAAAAGAAGCAACTTCTAAGCCCGACTCAATTCAAAATACCAGGATTGTGCTACAAACCATTTTATGCTTTTTGTTTGCTTTCGACCTCTTTTCCATGTCCAACCCTAAATCGTGTACGCTAGACCCTCGAATGTGAAATCTCACAACTGATGACTTGTTGAAACGAGTGAAAGCTGAGTTTCTGCAGCGTGCAGGGGCGCAGAGCCATGACGGAGTGGTTGGTTTGAGCTTCTCGGACAAAAGCTCTTGGTAGGACGAACGCCCCGGGACAGAGTTTGACGGGGAATTTGTCCTGAGGAACTTCTCCGTCATAGCTACTACGACGTCGTGCAGTGTACGTTGGGGGAGTCAGCCCTGCCGTAGCGTTTGCCTCCAATTCGGCTGCGTTGGGTTCTGTCATCCCGAGTTCTCCAGATACGACAAAGTACAAAGTATCAACCTTTTCGCCTTTTTGCACGAGCATGCAGCCTTTGGGAATCTGCACGAAGCTGTTCAGCATCAAATGCACGCAATGCTGCCTCTCCTCGGGCTCCAGCAGCGCGAAGATGCTGCTACTCATTACAGCCGCCGTCAGGTCTGGCTGGTTGTTGGAGAGGAACACCTCAATGCGGTCGTCTTCGTCCACTAACCCTGTAGCAAACTGTCTCCTAAACCCGGCAGCAAAAACCCGCTCGAAAGCAGCGGCTCTGCCGGACCACCTACCGTGCTTGCGGCCCTCGTGTGTGGTGTATTGGAGACTCGATCTGACTGCAGTGTCGCTCCGGCGGCGCTGCGATGATGGTTGTGACGGTTCTTCTGCATGAAACGAAGAGCTTGCTGGGACAACCAGATCCTCGACACCCGATCTAAAGTCAGCAGGAGAACCAGCTGACAAGGAGGGGAAGGCCACAAGCGGACCTCCTTCCACCGGTGTGTGTGCAGCGCCTTCTGCCTGACGACATTCTGCTGCTTTGTTGCTGGCATCACTGAAGGCAGTCAAACTCATCTCTTCTGAGTCCTCTGCGTTAGATTTTAAATCCGCAGTACCGAACTGCGGAGAATGTTCTTCTTCCTGCACGGAGGAGTCTGAGGGGAATTTGTTCACCCCGCCTCTAGAAAGAAAATCAGTGGGCGAAGCCCTTTCTTGCAGCCCCTCCTCCTTCTTTATTCCTTCTGCGAGATCAGGGGACGCCCGGCGGAAAGACTCTGCAAGTGAGAGTGTGGTGACGGCCTCGCAGCTTCCCTTGCCTGTGAGTACAAGCGTAGTGGCTAGTGGTTCTCGCCCCGAGGAAGCTGCTGCTTCCTGGTGCAGGGCCACATCTGCAGCGGGTTGGTTACTGCTGGCCTCGGATTTGCTGGAGGTGCCGACCATAAGCGAAAACGCTGCGTTAGCGTTGGCTGGATAGGTGTTGTCCTTTTCGTCTTTCCGCTCTTCACCTTCCCCCTCAAAGATATTCGGGATTGTAGCCAACACTGAACTCTGACTACCCATGTGATGCCAATGATTACCCTCTTGTGATTCCTGGCTGCCACTGCTGGACCCCTTTGCAGCGTCATATTCGTTTGCTGTGTTCAGGTTTTCAAGCACATGGCTTGCCGCCTCGGCCCCCTTACTGTCTTTCTTGCTGCTATGAGACAAAGAGAACGCACTCCTCAGCTTGCTGTACATACTCTTCTTCTTTCGACTGCCTCTGCGAGACGACCCGATCCCCGTTGCATTTTTCGACTTCTTGCGCTTCGGCACCTCCGCGCTGTGTCTGGCGCCTTCAAGGATCTCTGCACTTTCGGATTCAGCGGAGTGTCTATGTGGATCTGCTTCCGTAGCTAATGAGTTTACAGCAGCCGGAAAGAGACTTGGAGGCGGCTTTCGTCCTTCTTGTTCCAACGCCAATAGAGACTGGGAAGAATGCGATTTCGCTGGGGGCCCCGACAACCCTTGCGTGCTTTGTTCTGCGTTGGTTTGCTGCGAATGCACGACCTCCCGGACTTCGCTGCTGCATTTGGAAGCATGCACGAGTGGCATTGGGGCTGAGTGGCCATGCTTCAAAGGAAGCAGCTCCTCGTGTACAGGCAGAACGTTCGCAGAACCCTGGCGTAAAGTTCCGGGATGGTGCGGCGCTTCTGTTGTTGCAGCAGCTGCTTCGTTGGCTGCCTTTCCAGACTTCCTTGGAGTTGATGGACGCGATGATCCTCCGAAGAGACGCCCGACGAAAGACTTTGAAGGGGTTCTGGAGAGTTGGTGATCGGTCCCCGACGCTGCTGCCTGAGAAGAAGTTGGAGTTGAACTTCGGGGTTTGTCTGGGTCTCCAGCTGTAGAAGAGGAGTTCGCACTAGCTGCCATTTTCTTCGCCTTTTCGCATTCTTCACGGATCGCCTCCAGTCTCTGTCGTTCTGTCTGTATTTCCTCTCTTTCTGTCTCCAGTTGCTTTCTATCTTCTGCAAGTTTTTGCTTGCAAGAGGCTATCTCCTCCGCAGTAGGCAAGATGTCTTGAAGAAGCTGTCCAATCTTTTCTGCTGAGTCCCACTGAGCTTCAATTACAGCTAATTTCCGGTTGTCTGCATCAAATGCCTCTGAAAGCTGCTCAAGGGAACGTGTGAGATTTTGGCGTTTCGCGCTAAGTTGAGACTGCCTAAAGGAGAGTTTACTTTCGAGGGCTTTTGCCTCCACTTCCAAAAGCGCCAAAGCCGCCTCTAGCTGATTGCACTCCTTTTGTAGTGTTTCATATCCCTCTTTCCCCTCTGCGGAATCTTCGAACCGCCTCTTAAGGCTTGCAACCTTTTCTGCTTGTTGTCTCAGGAATGCGATGTGCGCTGCCGCATCCGAGGGCCGAGCGTTGAACTCATCCAGAGACCTCTTGAAGTACTGGTATGCCGGGTTTCCAACGACCCTCAAGACGGATGCCCTCATATCTTCTGCGCGCATCAACGCAAGTTCGGCCTCCCGGCCGCTCCTTAGGAGAAGCGACTCAAACACTGCTGTCCCTCGCAGTCTATCGGCTCCCTCTTTCCCTTTCTTTCTCTCCTCCGCAGGGACCGCATGCAGCTCCTCCACCCCGCGCAAATCCTCCATGAACGCAACCGCCGCCTGTGTTGCGTGAACTGCTTGCATTTCGACGGTTCTTCCCCACCATAGTTGTTTGAGTCGCAGGCGGACTGCCTCTTGAATATCTCGCCGCTTCTCCTTGATCATTGCCTGCAGTGACCCATGGCGCTCGTGCAATTTGGAATACATGAAGGCATCTCTCCACTGCCACTTCATTGCGTCTACAAGCCACTGTTCAAACACTCGAAAGCTGCCGAAGCCGCCCTCCCCAGCGGGGCCAGAGGCGCTGTCTGACCACAGTTTAGACTCGTAGAGTTCGATTTCCGCTTGAGTCGCCATCAGAGCCAGTCCTGGAGGCACGCTGTTAACGCAACTCTTTCGCGGGAGGCATTGATTGAGTGTCAGGGGAGTGAAGAGGCGTGTGGCCTGCACAGTTTGAGAGACTGTTGAAGCTTGGGGTTCCCTTTGCAGCCCCTTCACCTCCCACCCGTCATTTGAAAAAAACGGGGAGTTGAACGCATACAGCTGCAGACGCTCTATGAATGGCGGCAGGCGGGCAAATGCCTGCTGGTGGCCCACGCCCCAGCTGCTGCTGCTTTTGTGGCGCAGCTCAGCCCCCATACGCGTGCACTTCTGCTCCTGGATGTTGAGTTCCTGCCTCCCATAAAGGGACTCCAGAGAGGGTGGCTCTTCGAACTCCGCAAAGACCTCCGTAACAGTATTTGTTATGCGGTCCATAAGCAACTGTACACTTTGGTTCAGCCGAATGCACTCTTCGTGATAGTTCAAAAGCACTTCATCCCGTGTTGAACGAACCTGGTCACAGAAACAGCAGACGCATTCTCTTCTGTTGGTTGGACAAACAAGATTTGGGGGGGACCTGTTGCACATGCGTCGTCCTAATATTTTTTTGCGTGTCAAAGATGCAGTTTTGTAGATTGAGGGAGTATTCTCCTCTCACTAACCTGTGCATATAAGGCCTCTAGGCAGTTTCGGTTTTCACGTAGGGCGCCGCATGGTTTTTGCCAGGCCTGCAGCTGCTCTGTTTCTCCCTGTGGCAAAAACTCAGTGCGGTGTACACAGGGGAACGAGGAGATGCACACCGGCCTCGTGCAAGCAGTAATCAAAAGCATTTCTGCTTTCGACCTAGAGTCTGGATAATTCTGTAGAGTGATAGAGTCTGGATAATTCTGTAGAGTGATAGAGGGGGGGAAAGAACGCTCTGCACTTTCGAGGCTAACTAGCTGCTCAGGGAAAATTAACAAAAAACGAAGTTTCTGGCGTCTGCTGGAATCGGACCTGTAGGTCGTGCTGGACTGCGGTGTCTGAACACGCAGCATACTTAACCCCATGCATGATGTTCTTGACAGTGGCGATCATCTGCTTTAGTTCCCCGATGATAATTTGCTCGTCTTGGTACCGTAACTGGCTGAAGACCTGTTCATCAGCTCTATCCATCTGCTGTCGCGTTGCTGCCAGCCTTTCAGCAAGTCCCTGCGCAGTCTCTCCTGCATCTACTTCCTTGTGCTGTTGCTGCTGTTGCTGCTGCTTGGGGTCGTTTTGCTGTAGGAGCCGTATGTTCTCTTCCAATTCCGCTAGATGCGTGGCAACTGCTTCCAAGGCTCCCCCACAAACAGTCATGACAATCGATGCCTCTCCGCCCCCTTCCTTTTCAAACTTCGCCAACCAATCGGCAGCCGAAAAGTCCGGCAAAGCATCAAGCACAGCCAAGGGGAAGGCAGGTGCAGCGCTGACTGTGCCAGGTAGGACTGCTGCGAGAGCAAAGAGATAGCAATTATTAGTTTACCTCTGTACAGCCACTAGCATACAAGGCAGCATCTAGCAATCAATCAACAAAGGAGGGAAAGGTGAACACATTTTGCGCAAGCAACAGGGCAAAAAATTGTCCACCGTGTCCGCTAGCAACAAGACTCGAACTAAAATAGCAGCAGCAGTGAGGATGGGCTGCTTACGAGGTGCCTCTGTAGCCTCAAGTTCAGTAGCCGACGGTGGACTCTCATCTTTCGAATGGCGATTGCTGCGGCTGCGGTGCTTACTGAAACTCCGCGTAAAGAAGCTGCCGATACGCCCAAAGCCAGAGGAGCTGCTGATCCTTTTGGGCTTCCCAGTCTGATTGTGTTTCGCTGCCGTGTCCTCACAATTCGATTGAGGCAGTCTGCCGCCTGCTGAATATCCACAACAGACAAACAGAGCAAGGAACTCAATGCAGACACCAGAGCTAAGAATTCTTTCTCGCAAATGGCGCAGCGCCTTAAACACATCTAACAGAAGAAAACTGCAACTAGTAAGCTTTATAGAGGAAACCGAGGCCCCCTCGAATGAATCTCAGTACACGGGAGGCATAATCATGGACCCATCGGGTTGCTGCTTCCCGATGGGCAAATCATGGCATGCTAGTGGGCTTGTGCGGACACAACGTTCAGAGAGGTCACTATTGCCCGGTGAAAGGAGGACTGGCTGGCTCCCCTTGAGTACTTGAATCATGTGGAAAGAGTGTTTAGGAGCTGCAGAGCCATGGGGCGTGTGGCGTGTCTTGTGTTCTTCTGCTGAGTGTGCACGCACTTGAGTCTTCGTGGTCCCCTTCGTCGATCAAGTCCCCCGGGGCACTGCGCACACTCCTTCTGCCGCTGTCTAGCCTCGCGTGGTCGATGCTGACACTGCTCTCATGCACCATACTTCCCGCATGCAGCGCACCCAGTGACTGAGTTGTATGAGCCCGATGCATGCCCGCAGCCCCGTCTTCGGCGTTCTCGTGTAGTTCGTCCTTGAGTTTGGTTCTGCTAGGTACCGACATGAACATCGCCGCAAGAGAGTGATCTCCTTTGCTGGTGGCATGGGCACCAGAGGCCTTGTGTGGTGCTGTTTGAAGGGTACAGACAGAGGCTTCGTCATCATCGTGTCGCCGATGTTCTCGCGGACTCCCGCCTACTTCTCTAGATCTGAACCTTTTCATGCTGCTCTGTCGAATCCAACCCATAACACTTCTGCTGTCGCTCCTTTCCACCCCAGACACCGTCTTCCCTGCTACGCCTTTCCCTTCAATTTGGCCTCCCATGGTGTATGCAGACCTGTGGTCAGGACCGACCACCGCGCCGGAGTCCCGAGGAGTTTACGTTATTCTTCGAATCTCATCCCTAAAGTCAAAACTGTGGAGAGGCTTGTCAATTATTATATAGGCGATTTTCCGCAGGTTTCACTTCAATCCAGGGGAAGGTCTGCACATGCAGCGCCATCAGCCTCTACCTGTGGCCAGGCGGGCCCTTTGGACTCGACCGGCATCTCGGAAAGTTATTGAAGGATTCTTTAATTGATATTTTACTGATAAAGGCCCTTTTCAATCCTTCACTTCAGCTAGTTCCGGTGTATGAGTCATTTTAACCCGTCAAAGAAGCCTAGCGGTTCCTCTCTGGCGGCGCGCTGCAGGCAGTAGAAATCCGTCCCTTTCTCTCTGTCTCCCAACCCTCCCTCCTTACCAATTAGCGTTTACAGAACTCTTCTGCTGCAACTTGATTCAGTTTGATTTCCTCCATTTTCGTGTCTTGAGAGACGTCAGGAAGGAAGCAAGGCGATGTGCCTCGCTCCCGTCGGCCGCGTTCAGGTTTTGAGCGATATTACGTATTTGCATTCTCTTCAGATAAGCATTTTTGCTTCTTTTTGATTTAGGACAATGTCACAAGAAATGCATCAGAGCGAGTTATGTGACCAGGACAGGTCGTCTTACATCGTGCACAATCGAAACCAGGAGCCGAACTCGAGCCAGGCAGATGGCGTGTGCATTACACCAGATCAAACATACTGGAAACAAAACCTTTTTTTTCTGTATATGCCTATAATGGGATGGTTCGAGTTCTAGGACATGTGGTAGGTAGTGGAACAACATGGCAAAGCTGTGCTTGCCCTGCTTTCTGTCGTCAAATGAGATTACTCAAATTGACACAAAGCACAACGAGACGCAAAGTTTCAACAGCATCAAAATAATAGAGGCCATGCATAGAACCAATGACACCCAATAATGCAAAGAAAGCGCTTATCGCTTGCGTTGCATGCAAAGAAATTCCATTGGCTACTCTGTCTATGCGTCATTTTCAAAATCCAACGTGATATATTAAGCCCCATGAAAAAAGCGCTTCTTGCAGCGACATTTTCGCAGCTTTCTCTCACCCTGCACCTTATCAATTCTCAAAAATCTCGAGGCCTTTTGCTAAGCTTGATAGGCCCTCTTCCACAAAACTTTGCATTTGTGTCTGCGCCAGCTTTGGTAGGCGCACAGGAATTGATAGCCGGGTGTTAATTGCAACGGAATCTCTTTTCTGGCTGCGTGCTAAGTCACCGTTGGTGTTTCTGGCTTTGTGCAAAGATCTACTCTTCACAGCTTGAGTTTTCTGCCCCTTTGACGCCCCATCTGTTATCCGGAGTACTGTCGCGACCTAGTTCCCCGAAACTCGGCAATAGCGGGTTCATTGCTGTTAATACTTGAACTGAAAGAGAAACGAAGAACAACAGGAGATGCAGAGGACAACATTCGATGCTAAGAGCAAGGTGATGCTCTATTAACATCGTATGTTGCTACCAACTTGCTTTGAAGAGCAAGTTGACGCAGTATTCAAAGTAGGAAGCCAAAGTACTAACGGAAACAATGGTCTGCCTCACACCAAGTAGCGGCCACCAGGATCTGCAGGCTTTCCACACTACGGGAAAATCAGAAAGAAGCGGCTGTAGTTCGGATTATTTGCCGAATTCCACATATTTGTTGAAAATACTTTAAATAATTTCCCTGCGCTGCTAGCAACAGCTACGAAGTGGGGACCCTGTGTATCCCTGCTTCGCCTGCAGCTTGTCACGCTGTGATCGTAACCCCATGCAAACTGAATGTTCATACAAGGGAAGGAACTCCCCACCTTACATCGGCTCAGATATTCCTCTCTGTTGAGGGTTGCTGGCTTGCTTTTATTGTTGCTCCTTGCATAACCGAGCAGCCCCCGACGTTTCCCAGTTGAAAGGAAGCAGCTGCTAGAGCAGGATTGCACATATCCATTACCCATGCGTGCACCCTTGGCCTGGCAATTAAATGTTGTACACGGATACACGGCATGCCAGCAACGAAATGAAGATAAGGCTCTTGTGGTGTATTGTACATTGTAGGGAGCTCTTCAGGTATTGCCCATCCCGTATGCCCTGTGGTCTACCTCTGAGGCTCTCAGTGTAGCAAAATAATTGGGGGAAACACGGGCACCAAATCTACTATATATACACTTGCTGTCTGTGTAAGCCCTGTACGCACTACCTAGTCGATATTGTAGCCTGCTGGCAAACACTGGATGTCGGTATCCAGTACCTACAGAGGAATATCACGCTATTGCAGACAAAGTTGATTTACCGGGACAAGGAATAAAAGCTGGGTTTGGTTATAGGTACAACGTATCACTGCTAATGCGTTGCCGTCCCTGCATTTTTCCGACAGTCTGCAGCTAGCCAGCTCGGCAGTTGTTTGAAATGCCCTCTCTACTCAGCAAACTTCCGGTGTGTACGGCAACTAAAAGCATATGTACGGCTAAAGCAGAAACGCCCTACGTATTCTGATAAGAAAACAATACGTACGGTGTCCCCCCTTTGAGAGGACTTTCTCCTTACTGCAGCTCTCACAACACACGACCATCAGTTTTCTGCAGGAAGTCTGCACTTACTCCAAAAATGCTTAAATATATCAACATCCCGTTATGCTACTCTCCCCGTCCTCCGTTACAACTGTAGCTTTGTGTGGAGTCCGCCTAAGGACAGCAAACTTCGCTCGTGCACAGGTTTGCGAGGGCACAGGAAGGTTGCAACTGAGCACCCGGACGTCCTAAAATCTTGTGAAGAGGTTCATGGATGCATAACTGTTGAAAGCGTTACGGAGCGGGATGCATGCTGCAGAAAAATCCCGTTTCCGTTCAAGTGCCACATGGCGGAGTCGGGCGAATGTACGTACAGCCGGAAAGCTGCAGGGTGGCAGAGGAAAGCAGCGGAATCAAAGAATAATAATGAAAGCAAATCTTGGCATTTACAGTTTAAAGATGAAACAAAGCAAAGGGCAACATTTGTTCAGCTTGCGGCGGGCGCTCAAGAGGCCCCAGCAGCCCCCGGAGTTATGTAGATGTTGCGTGAGGTCGCTCTGGTCGTCGGGGAAGCTGTGTTTGTGCCGCTTCCTCTCTACAGAAGCTCACGAGTTATTGTATTAGGTTTTCCTTTGGAGGGGAAATAAAGAAGTGTTTTGTTCAGCAAGGAGGAGGCGCGAAGAAAGGAGAGAGAGTGCAGGGGAAAGGCATGTCGGTCTCCGTCTCTCATTTTCATCGCTTACTTTTCTCCCTCTTCCTTTTCATCTCTTTAAAACCCCGTTGTTAAAGGTTCACCGACGTATTCAAGTCCAGCAAGCCGGCGATCAGCGCGTGAATTTCCTCTCCGTAGATATCGGTGTACATCCCGATTTGCGGTCCGATCGAGTGGCTTCAGCATTCCAACTGAACTGCACGGGTCCCGCGTTTCTGTGTTGTTTTGTCTCTAAACACTTCCTTTTAGCAGTTTTTGATCTTTTTGGCTAGTTGTTGATCCTTATAGGGCGCCTAGACAGTCGGGGTTTCACCGTACATTCCGTTTCTTTCTTTCCAGCATGAGTGAGGTCTTGAGGAAAAAGCCTTGAGAGATGGGGGCCCCGATATGCAATGGACAGGTTGCCTCCTCCGTACGTCCTCGCCGTACTTCCAGCGGAACACAAGCCGATGAACATGACACCGCTTGCTTCATTCCTGCTGTTGCATCCTCTACCCTCATCCAAAAGAAAGCCCAGGACTATTGTACTCAGGAGTGCACCAGCCGTCTGCTGCTGAAGTACACTCTCTTTGCGTTCGTCATTTGCTCATGTCTGTGCATTGGGTATATACTGGGCGCCCTCTACCCTCCTGGAGCGACTGAAGTAAGCAGATGGATCAGCCGTACCGATACACCCCATGTTTCACTATCGACTTTGCAGGTCATTCACTCGGGAACGCCTAGTTGTACACTTGAATAAACTACCATGCCCATATTGCGTTTTCTTTGCTGCTGCTGCTGTGCACTACCAGAGCCCGTCACCCTTCTCGGAATGGATGCAGGCGCGGCGGCGTCTTTCTGCTTCCGGGGGCGAGGGAGGCGGCGGTAGTGAAGATATTGGGTTGTTGGAAGGGGTCAATGAGGAGGGAGGTGGAGGCGAGGACCGGCCCAAAAAGGCCCCCGTGGGGCCCCCCAAGGGGCCCCCCAAAGGGGCACCACAAGAGGGGGTGAAGGAAAGAGGAAGCAGCGACACCCAGCTGGTGGCTGTCGGGGTTCCGCCCCCCCCATCTTCTCCAGCCCTAACGCCTCCATCCAGCGGCAGAACGGATACACTTCCTGGCCAGCAAAATGCAGCTCCTCCCACGCCAACAGTTGGTGGAAACAGAGACGCAGGCGCAGTTTCCCCAGTCTCGCCTCCATCACCAGTTCAGTCGACCACTGGATCTATGGAGAGCAGTGCAGGCGGCAGGGGCACCTCAACCCGCAAACAACGACGCAAAAAGAAGAAGGCGGAACTTATCAATGGTATGCTGAACATAGTATGTATTTATACGGTGTGAGGGGCAAAACTGTCCTCCATGTGCTTACCCTTGATGTCTGCCGCGCTAACAATCGAGTGGACTTTGAGTTACACTGCGTCGTTTACTGCCCTCTTCTCTCATTTCGTGAGCCTGAATCACTTGTGTCTCCTCTGCATCCAGGCCCCGACCCGCATACGTACCGGAGGGAGCTGTGTACGATGCTGCGGATGGACGCTACACTCCAGGCGTGGTATGCGTTGGTGGTGCTCTATGTGGCGGAGTGGCCGACTTATGCTCGCCATGGCACAGGAGGCGACGCTTATTTGAGTTATTTGAAAGATTTGGCCGAGAAATTCGAAGTGCCGCGACATGCTGCGGTGCAGGTTCAGATGCTGTTTGCTGAGGAGCTGTCCTGCGGCACTCCTTCGTTCTTTCTAGACGGAGTAAGTTTCTGCAGTAGCGGCGTCAAGAAAGAAGGAACGAAAAACAAATGTTGGAAGTCGCTGTGTAGCTTATCCGTAGCTCTGTATACAAAGTGATGTGAAGGTTTTGCATATTTAGCTTAATACATAGGGGTTGCACGTTATTACCATGGTGGAGAAGCATTTAATTGCGTTTTCAGGGCATGCGTGCATACTCGAATATCGCAGTGTACATTATGCACAAGTGAGATCAGGTCACTGTACTCGTATGCATTATACTATTTGTGCGGTGTTCGTAACAGCTTAAAATTGTTGGGAAGGACATTCACCGGCACCATGACTTGATAATGGTGCTGCGGAAGTACCGCGAAGATTCCGATTTTGCAGATTTGATTGACTATACACAAGTGACCAAGTTGCCAGCGGACGTCTCCATTTCGGGGTTCCCCATGATCCTCAGGACAGCCTTTGAGGGCTTCGCCTTTTGCTTTAGCAAGAATTTGTACATTAGACCTGACAAGAAGGGCGATGGCCAATCCAGGCGCACGGAGGGAACGGGTAAGGTAGCCGCTCCAGTATATATACGCTTTCCCTGCCCCTGTTGTATATATATATATATATATATT